CTGGAGCTGGGGCTGGAGCTGGGGCTGGAGTTGGGAGCTGAGGCTGGAGTTGGGAGCTGGGGCTGGAGCTGGGGCTGGAGTTGGGAGCTGGGGCTGGCTCAGTGCCCGCCTGGCTGTGCACTTTCCCAGCTTCTGCTGCAGGGAGTAAAACACATCGCAACTACTCCTCCTCCTGGTTTGCAAGTTTACCCTGCCTGCAGGGTGGATGTAAGCACAGAGCAGGGCTATGAACACAGAAGAAAATGGGGGGAAAGAGAGGAGGGACCTCGGCAGGGATCTGTCGGGCCCCAATGGACTGCAATGAAGGGAATCCCCTAAAGGAAGGCAGAACGGCCAGTGAGTCGCAGCCCAGAACGAGGGGGCTGTGCTGGGGAGGATCCCCCTGCACCAGCACCATCGCCAAGGAGGAAGGTGCTGCCACAGCCACCTCACCACCCGCTTTGTCCCCAGAATGAGTGCCAGCAGTGAGCCCTGCCTTCTGCTCAGACCCCAGGTGGGTGCCCTGGGCTCTTCCTGATACCTGCCCCTCGCTGCTGATCAGGGCCTTTGCCAGCTCCCCACTACAGCCAGTGAACAACCCAGGGCCGTTCCTGACTCCCGGACCCACGAGGGCTGTCCTTACCTGCTTGAGCACACTCTGGAGCTCCCTGTTGGACCAAAGGTCTGTCAGGAGGAGCCGAGCAGCCTCAGCTGCTTTCGGACAGGAGCTGGGAAGATGAAAGCAGCAGGAGGATTATGGCAGGCCCAGAGCAGCACCCCACAGACACTGCTGACAGCCTGGGACAAAGCCAGCTCCAGCTGGAGCCAGGCTAGCCACCAGCAGGACTGGCAGTAACACCCTCCCTGCTCCCTCAGCAAGGTTGTGTGACAGCTGTGACCAGAGCAGGGCAAATGAAAGAGAGGGGAGGAAAATGGGCATAAAACTGGGCTGAGTCTGAAACTTGAGAGAAGGGCAGTGGTGCCAGCGCTTCACTGTGGTGTCCAGGGGCAGTGTGGGTGGATCTCCTGGGAGAGGGCAGAGGAGCGGGCTTGGAGCTGCCTGCAGAGGATGAGGGATGGGAGCGTTTGCAATAACAACATCTGCGAGCAATTCAGAGCCCTGACTCAGCACGAGGGAACAGATACCTGCTCACGTAACTGCTCGAAACCGTGAGTCATCACAGGACCTCTGGGAATTTTGGAACATTTCATACCCAGATATCCCTTCCCTGCTGGCTCCCGTCACTGCTCTCCAACTCCTGGGCCTTGTCCTGGCTGTGGGAGCTGTGGGAGCTGTGGGAGCTTGGGGCTCAGGGCAGCAGACCCAGCTTGTCCTGATGCCTTAGGATTTTTAGCTTCTATATTTTCATATATCTGTATTCTTGTACTTCTCCAGTGTACAGTACTAAAGCTACTTTTCTTCCATCTTTAGACAAAACAGTTCCTCTCTGGGCCTGAAATCCAAGGACACTTCACCACCTCAGAGCCCCAAAATATGAAAACAACAGAAAACTGGGGGGAGCAAGCTTGGGGGCATTGATATCACCACTTGAAGGTGTCATTGGAGAATTGGGGCCCGATGTGTTCTTGAGACAGAACTTATAAAAGGTGAAGATCTCGTGACTCGGGGTCCATTTTGGGTGTAGCCTCAGGAGGAGGCTTTGCCTGCCCTCAATGTACCCGTAGACCTGGATTAAATTTGTCTGCTTTTATTCTCTTAACTTTGTCTGGCCTCTGTTTCAGGTGAGCCTTGTTTTAGGCATCAGTCCCACCCAGAGTGATGGAGAGGAATGGGACCAGGCTCAGGACCCTCCCTGTCTGACACAGCTCCACAGAAATGTGTCCTCAAAAACAATCCTCAAAACATTCCCTGAACAGTCCCCAAAAGGCTGCCAGAAATGGGACCAACTGGTTGTGAGGAACCCCAACTCCACACTTGGAGTGTAGGAGGACAGGGATGAAACCACATCCAGTAAATTTTGAGGCATTTCTCTGCAAAGGAATTCCCAAAATAAGGATTTCTTCAGGGTGTGAAAAGATCATAAAATTCATATCAATGTGCAATCTTTGGAAGAAAGGGGAAATTGGAGAAGTGTGGGTGACAAGAACCCTCTTCCATAGGGAACAATCAAGGGAAGAACTGAGTTTCTTGAAAGTATAGTTTTGGTAAAATGCTGTGGTAGAACTGAACTGCAAAATAAAACTCTGCAATAGAAAAGGTATGAAAAGTGAAGGAACAAAGAGAAACAAAAAATAAATCCATGGTAAAGGCATGCACTGTAAATGTGATGCTCTAAAGTACAGGGAGAGAGTTTGGGAAAAACTTTGAGTGTAGCCAGTAGAATTAATGAGAAAAATGATAATTTAATTAGTAAAATGGAAAATGAGCAGAGGAATGTTTTTCAGACAGTTGGAGAAAAAAAAATAAAAGGAAAGCAAACACCTCAATAATCAGTCCAGTAGACTGATTTTCAGAAATATCACCAAAAATTGAAGGAAATATTCAATTTCCTTGAGCACACTCTGGAGTGTACTTGGATTAAAAATAATGAAGAGTAAAGAAACCCCATATGACCGTGAACCCTGTGTCAGAGATGAGAGCATCTGCAGGAGACACCGGCAATTCTTTAATTGGGATGCTCCAGGAAGGAGAAGAAACCACATCCATCAGATAAACTGCTGAACCCTTTCTGCCTTTCAGTCAGAATCCAGCTACAGGAAACGTGAGAAGACAGAAACATGGGAAAGGCAAGATCCATAACTCACTGCTCTGGAACCCTGAGTCTCTTTCTGAACCATGACTCTAAAGTAGTTTGAGCAGGTTGAGCTCCTGATTTGCAGCTGGGAATGCAGTGAGATCCCAGCTCAGAAACACAGGGCAGGATCTGTGGGAGGGAGCACCCAGACACCAACCCCAGCCTGGGGGTCAGAGAATGTCCACAGGGAAATGAGGAAGATTAACAGAGAAAATGGCAAAATCCTGACAGGGTACAGAGTGTCCCTGTGTCCTCCCTGGCAACTGKGTCACCCCTGAGCCCCCTCTGTCCCCCCTCTCTCTGCTGCCTGCCGTGCTGGGAAGGAAGAGCTTGGTGATTCCGACTCACCACATTCAGAACAACTGTGGGGATCTGGGGGCTTCAGCCAGCCCCCAGCAGAGGTGGGGTATTTGCTTATTGCCACTGAAGAGGGGGAGACTCTTTCTGATATGGGACTGGACAAATCCCACCCTAATTTTTTTGTTTATCTTCACAGGCTACACATGAAAATGTCACCTTGTGACCTAGCAAGAGTCCAAAGCCTCTCCAATATCTGTTCTGCTGGAACAGCCTGAATTAATGTGATTTGAACATGTAAGATTAGTCTGGGGTGGAAATTGTTCACCTTTTTTCCCCTAAGAGTTGAACACCATAAAATCTTTGGGGACAAAAAAAAATAATGGAGGAAAAGGAATAGCTTGAGTTTTGGACATTGTAAGAACTGGGGAGTTTCTCAGGAGGACTTTGTAATCCAGGGAGGACTGGGGACATCTTCAGAGTTTGGTAACTCCTCTCAGTTCAGTGAGTCACTGCCAACCAACTCATCCCAAGCAGCCAAGGCAATTAAACTGTTCCCAGTCCGGGTTGAGCAAGGTTGTGCTGGAGCAGCAAATCACTGAGCACTGGTCTGAAGCAGCCACAGCGGGACTTCAGCACCAGTAAATTCCATTCAAAACAACCAGGGCTTAGGAAGAGGCTGGGTTTCGTGGTAATTGGGCTCATTGGAGAGTGGAAACAAATAAAAGGAGCAAACAGAGCAATACTCCTTGGCCCAGGCCCAAACTAAACAAGGACGCCCCATGTAATGACTGACAGCGTCTCTACCATGGAACAAGAGGTGGATTGGAAGAGCTTTATCAAAGGATGATGAAGGCATGCAAATGGTTTTCACAACAGAAAACAATGAGTTACTTGTCTAAGGCATTTTAGAACAAAGGCAGATGGCAGGAGAGATGAAAGCCTTGGAAGGAGAGAACATAGTCAAAGATAATGGAAGTTTTACACCAGTCTAGCCAGAAATGAACACAGAGCTTGGCAAGGCTTGACAGGCTTTTGCTTCAGGGAACATGGATAACAAACAGGACAGAATTCCTACCACCAAATCCCAAACCAAGTCCTAAAATAGAAAGTGGTAAAATATGATGAGATTGCTCAGCTGGTGTAAAATACAGGAGTAGACCAGGGAGGTACTTAAAATAATTCCTGTGTTCCCCCAGAGCTGCATCTTGAGGAGGATGATTCAACAAAAAGATGAACAGATTTGCACATTAAAAGTTAAGTACAATCCTTGCGAACCTGTAGTGTTGAACTCCAGACCTGACCTCTGTGACACAGTTTGAGGGAAGCCCGGGAGCCAGGAAGTGACTGACATCCCCTGTTCCGAGGGCTGGAATGTTCATAGATCAGAAAATCCCAGACTGGTTTGGGTCGGAAGGTACCATCCAGTGCCACTCACTGCCATACACAGGGACAACTTCCACTATCCCAGGGTGCTCCAAGCCCCATTCAGCCTGGCCTTGAACACTTCCAGGGATTCAGGAGCAGCCCCAGCTTCTCTGGGCATCCTGTGCCAGGGCCTCCCCACCCTCACAGGGAAGAATTTATTCCTAATATCCAGTATAAATCTCTCTTCTTTTTGTTTGAAATCATTCTCCCTTGTCCTGTCACTATCTGCTTGTGTAAAAAGTCACTTTTTTATAAGCTCTGTAAATACTATTTTTCACAGACTTTAAGATGTTGTTGCTTCAGCTCTTTTTAGAATTTCCTAAAATTTAACCAGAAAATTTCCAGAGGCCCTTTTGCAAATTGCACCTTGGATGGCTCCTGCCTGTTTCCAAAAAACCAGTGCTGAGGATTTCTACCCACCCACATGCCCAGTTCCTTTGCTAGGAAGGAACAATGCTCTGCTCTGGCTCTGAAAGGTGTTGGGAAGGCTCTGGGCTGAGTCTGGCTATGTCCCTGCCCTTGACTCCTGCCCCACACTCACCCATTCCGGCATAGGCTCACTACATTATTTAACAAGTTGCTGGACAGGTAAGACTTTCCCAGGTGGGGGCTGGACATGATGAGGTTCCTCAGAGTGTAACAAGCCGATGTCATGATCTCCCCATAGCTGCTGGTGTTTCCAGACTGGAATGACAGGAGACGGGACACATCTGGGAGCACCTGGTGAGCTAAAGAGGTGGAGGAATGTTCCAATCAACAACTCAACACAATCTGGCACAAGTGAATTACTCTATTTGTGTTAACACCAATCAGAATTATCCCTGCAGGGAGGCACTAGCAGCGTTGGACAGTGATGGCACAATCGTCATCAGTGGATTTTTCCAAGACAAAAGCAGGGCTGCAGGCCTTTGGAAGGGCAGTGCTGTTGGCCATGGGCACTCAAGGCCAACTCAGTTCCCAAAACACTGTCACCCTCATGGTCCTGCAGGTTTGTCACGGTCTGTAAAGCACAGCACCTGTCCCACAGCACTGGTGACTGTCCTTGGGGCCAAAGGAAATGACACTACCCAGTTCTGGAGCTTGGCCAAGTCTCYTTATGGGGCTTACAAAGGGAGCTGGGCAGGTCCCATAGGGCTGAAAGCTGCAATCCAGCTTGGGGGAAGAACTTACCCATGGTTTTGTGGAGCACAGGATGCCTGGACATGTTGCTCAGCAGAGAGGCCCCGGACCGGACAACCTCTGAGCTGTTGGACTGGAGCAGCCGAGCGATGCGGGGCAACCCCTTCTCCTTCAGCCCAATCAACTGGCTCATGGCACTGGACATCTGAGGGACAGCAGAGATGGCCATGACTTCCAGTGCCAGGGGCACAATGGTCAGGGCTGGAGGAATGTGACTGGACCATAAAATGACCCCTGTATAATCCATTCTCCTGCTGCCATAATCCCAACTACTGTGTCAATTTTACCTCTCTGTCCCACAGCTATGGAAGCCTGGAGAAAAGGAGGCTCAGAGGGAAACTCCCACAACTCCCTGACAGGAGGGTGCAGCCAGGGGGATTTTGGGCTGTGCTCTTTGGGAACAAGGGACAGGACAAGGGGAAATGGTGTCAGGCTGCCCCAGGGGAGGTTTAGATTGGATATTGGGGAAAATTTCTTCACCAAAGCAATTGTCAAGCAGTGGCACAGCTGTCCAGGGCAGTGATGGAGTCACCATCCCTGGGAATGTTAAAAAAATGCATTGATGGGGCACCTGGGGACATGGGTTGGTGGTGAATATGGGGTACAGTTGGATCTGGTGATCTCAGAGGGCTTTTCCAACCTTAATGATTCCATGATTCTGTGATATTTGAGAAGTCAGCCTCCCATCTGCTGTGACGCAGCTGGTTCTGATGTTCTCTGGAGCCCCAGTGGAGCAGCTGATCACCTAGCTGACCTTCCAAATATTGGAGAAGTTTTGCCTTTATGTCCATGTTGCCCTTGCCTTTCACAACCCACTGGCAGCTCCCTGTCCTGGCCCTTCACAGCTCCCTGCCATGCCACAGTGGGCTGGGAGGAGCAGGAACAGGCAAGGGACGCCTTTAAAAAGCAATCTGAGGACCAAGAATACTCATGTTAGATGTGATCTCATGCTTGTAAATGTAGAAAGTCTCAGGGTGCAGCCAGGGCAGATGAGTTCAAGCATATCCCCTGAGAAAACTGCCCTTATTGACAGGGCTTTAACTGAACTTCTCAGCTACTGCCCCACCAGAAAGGTGGCTGGAGACACATGTCCCTCAACAGTGATATGGGAATGGAGAGAAGGGGCTGGCAAACAACCCTCTGCCAGGGGCCTGTGACCCAGTTTCCTTCCCATGCTCTGGGGCTCGCATGTGCCCTGCTCCACATTCACACCAGCAGGACTGTGGTACGTAAAGTGCAGCTGAAGGACATTCAAAGCCATCTTCTATGAGTTAAAGGATCACAGCAAGCTCTGTAAGCTCATCACCAGATTCCCCTTCTATCAAGTGACAGCAAACCCCATGTCTTGGGGTGATTTTATGATAATATTGTGTTCCCCTATCGTCTGCTTTATGCCCAGAAATGGATCCTGCAGCTGTAAGCTGGATCTGGGAGAAGGGCTGGGAGCCGGGGAGCCCCAGTGGGAGTAGTTTTTTTTTTAGTTCAAGGACTCTCTTCTGGTGGCTGGGTTTGCAGCATGGAGGAGTTACCCTCACAAATTCTTGCTAGCTAGCTTGCTTCTTGTGAACTGCAGTGAGAGGCTTTTCCCTGGACTGCAATGGCAACCCTGGGACTGCTTGTTTGCTTTCTTCTGGAACTGTTCAGCTTAGCTTTGGGTCTGAGAACCAGGCCACCAGCAGAGAGGCTGTGGGGACACCACAGCCTGGCTCTGCACCTCGGGAGAAGCCAAGCCAGTGAAAGAACTCTAAAAATCCAACAGCTTTCTTTGCAGTGAGGAGACCAAAGGTTCAATATATATATGTATTTATAAGTTATTCATTTTTTGGGCACTCTGTTAAATAAAGTTTTCTTCACTTTCATCCAAAACATTCCTTTCATATCTTTGGGGGGAGGAAGAATCAAACCTCTTTTCCTCTAGAGGCAGCAGGGCCCCTTTGCTTTGGAGGAAGCACTAATTCCAGATCGGTTTCTCCTAAACTTGTCTCTAATCCAAGACACCCAACAAATCCAGCTCCAACTCTGAGCTGGAATGAGACCCTTGATGGGAGGAGCCACTTTGCACATCCAGACAAATTTCAGCCATTCCATTCCAGGAGGCTGAATTAAGTTGCTCCAGCTCTGTCAGAGCTGGGTTTGGTTGTTTGTCCCTTGTGCAATGTTGTTGATCGTTGAACTTTTCCCTGGAGTGCAAAACTCCAGCCCCATTTCTCTGACCAGCTCTACCCGTGTGTGACAGCCTCTCTCCACCTTCTGGTTCATGGCATTGCTTGGTTAAATTGCCAAAAATCAAGGATCCCAATTATTTAGCATGGAAATCCGTGTGACAAAAGAAGATCAGAGCTGGCAGGGTAATGCCATCCCAGCAGGGAATGCTCCGGGTGAGTCACCCATGTCTCTGGGTGGAACACTCCCCACACGTGACACGCCTCTCCTACCTATGGAATCATTATCTCTTTATCTCCCCATCCATCTTATTTGAATTGGGATTGATGGAGTTGGGCACAAACAGACAAGTCAGGGGCTGTCCCAGTGGAGACAGCCTGCGAGGACCTGCCCAGGGCAGCGACATGGCCCCATGGAGCTGAGGCTGTGACGTGTCCCTCACGGTGCCAGAGTGTCACTCAGCCCCTAGCACTGCCACGCTGCTGTGCCCACAGGTCAGGACATCTGTCACAGCTATTACCCAGGCAGCTCTGAGGTGTGGACAAGCCGCAATCCACAGCACAACCCGCCCTGTCATTAGAGCCACCTCCCCTTGGAGCACACACATGGGTGGTGGCACAGCCCTTCTCCTATCATCACATCTGGGTGCATATCTGGACTTACCCTCACTGCTGCCCTAGTGGAGGGCACCAACACCAGCAGCTGCTGGTAGTGTGATCAACAGACTGGGGAAGCTTCCAAACCCAGTGTATGGATCTGGGATAAATCCTTGGGATGCTGACTGTAGCCCCTCATGAGACCCTGGGTCTGGAATTAATAAACATCATATGGGATCAGGCACTGTGGAAAGACTGGCTGTGGTGCCCTGAGTGTTAAGGAGGACACTGTACTTTTTCATGGCTGTGAAGTGATGATGATTGGTGACCTTAGAGATCTTCCCAACCTTACTGATTCTCTGATTCCATGGAAGAACTGACACATTTGGGTGCACACGTGTGGAAGAGGGTGAAGCTCTTACCAGCCCTCGGCTTGCAGTGAGGTTCTGCAGAGCTCCAGCACAAGCTTCCAGGGTGGCATCCTTCTTGCTCTGATCCATCAGGGACAGGTAGGTGCGGATGGCATCTGAGTGGTAGAGCCAGCTGGGGCCTTTGGGCTTGAAATCCTCCTCAGGAAGGGGGACCCCATACTCATCATTCTGCAAAGACACAAGGAATGGGGAGCTCAGATCCTGCTCTTCCCTTGCAGCCCCTGCCTGGGACTGAATATCACATTCCCAATTATCCCTCTGTGGTACATCCTACCCATCCTACCTCCATCTTCCCACTCCTACTGTTGAAGCAGCCTGTGAGAGTCTTGTCCGTGTAAACGCTCCGGGCCATGTGGTTGAGCTGGGTGTATTTGTTGGGAACTTCAGCATCCAGGCGGTAGGAGAGGTTGTGCAGGATGCAGATGCAGTTCTCCACAGACTGCATCACCCCCAGAAGAAAAATGCAAACATCACATTAGGTAAAAAACTACGGAGAAGCACCAGAAAGGACATGGACTGGCTCATAATCAGCTTTTTAACACCACAGATGCTCCTGATCCTGGTTCAGGGAGTGAGGGGTGGGAGGGAAGGAGCTGGAACAGACGTGAAGGAAGAACACAGAGACGCTGCAGTGAGGATCTCAGGGAGGGAGCTGCTGACCCAGACAACCTCGGGAGGTCTCACTGCCACAGACAAGGTGGCAAACAGGAAAAGAGGGTGTGAGAGTGGTTGGATCAAACAATGAAATTGTGGGGAGGGGAGCATACAGGGGCCAAGTATTTTACTGTTCCTCTGTGTTTGGTAAAGGAAAATAGTAAATTCCAGCTCTACTTCAGGCCCAGAGCCCTGATGACTTGCAACCCTCCAAAAGATCCCACTGGGGTTTGGACAAGAGAAGCCAGAGAGTCCAGCCCCCCTCCCCACCTAGTGTTTGTTGGAAAGGGATTTTGAGGCATTCCCAAGGTTGCCATTGTTATCTGTGGGGCTGGACAACCCGGGGCAGCACTGGTACCTTGTCATCAGGGCGGTTGGAGGCCACACAGTTCTGGGCATAAGTCATGACCGAGTCAATCAGGCCGGGGTAGTTCCTCATGGTCTGGCGCCCCATGTCTGCAGAGCTCAGGTTCCTGAGAAGCCATTGAGGAGCATGGCAGGGGACAAGGAGGAGAGAGGGTCAATTGGGCTCTATTCTGGCTATGGCTGTCACTAAATTCAGGGATTTTTTGGCAGGTTCAGCAAGGATGATAGATTGCTCTTGTTTTGGAAGCCTTTGGGGGGACTGTACCAGTGCACAGCTCTCTTGCTGCTCTTTAGGACTGATTTCACCAGGAACACGTCCTGTAAGGAGCTCTGGACAGAAGGCACCCTCCTAGGGACAGTCACCAGCAGGAGGCTGCCTCAGAGACTCTGCATGTGCCACTACAGACTATCCCCTGGGAGGAGCTTCCACAGGGAAAACTGGCTAAAGCCCATGGGGATTGCTGTGATCATAAGAAGGCACACAGGGTTGTAAACACAAACCTACCCAAGGACAGCAGCAATGCCTGTGTGGGAAATGGGGTGGAGATGCTGTAGCAGCAATGGTTCTGGCCAGAGGGACTGGCTCTGGCCATCTGTGAGGCTGAAATGGGTTCCTGGACACTGGTGACTGTCAAGACAGGGGAGTTTTTCCAGTAACAGGATATGGGTTTTGTTGTTTTGTTCTGGGTTTTTCTTCCCTGTTTTATTGCCTTGTAGCTTGCAAATGAAAAACAAAGAGAGGTTGGCAGTGGTTGTGAGATATTCACTGCAGGCGTTCCAGAACTGGATCTGATGTTCACTGTGATTTGCAGCCTCCTCATTAACATGGATTCATCTGCAATCCAGAAATGCTTGAGCAGCAATGGCTTGGGCCCAGGGCAAACCCAGGGCTGTTCTCATCCCTGTGTTCTGATGTGGCAGGGCAGTGACTCAGAGCATTTCTGGCTCAGCCCTCGGAGCAGGGGCTCTGGATCCAACCCCCAGCTTCCCTCACTCTCCCTACTCCCCAGTCCTGCTCCCTCTGGAGCTCCCTTGCTGACTTGATCCTGTCACTGTTCTTTGGGGTGTTTGGCACTGCTGCTACAGCCTGAGATCAGTCTCAGGAGGCAGACCCTGCCTTGAGTTCAACTCCACAGAGTTTTTACAAGCTGTTGCCATTGTGTTTCCCTCATTTTAATGGGATATTTTATGGTGTTGGTGAGTTGGGATGGCCTTAAAGCAGAGCACCACACACCTACCGTACCCCACACGTCCCAAGCCTCAGCTGCTCAGGGGAGCTGCCTTCCAGGACAGGGAAGGAGGGAGCAGCACTCCCTATCTCCCAGACACGGTTCCCAGCCGCAGAAGCCGATGGTATCAGGTCTCCAAAGGGCCTGCCATGCTCAGCCTCTCGTTTCATAAGCAGCTCCAGCTCCTGCGAGCTGCGTGTCTGGGAAGGGCGCGGCCGGCGCTGCCTCCCTCGGGGAGAGCTTCCCTTGATGAAAGTACCTCATTATACAGGGCAGGTTTTTTGCCCCACTTGTTCCCATTGAGACAAGCAGCTTGCATCCAAGTGGAGGAGGGAGGTAGAAGAAACAGCAAGTCAGGGCGAAGATCCTCTACAAAAGGGCTTTGGTTTCTCTTGAACAAAATAAACTACTCTGGGCTCAGTCTGCACCTCCTGTTTCATAGCTGAGTCTCCTGATGAAAAGAGCTTGGAAAAGTCCAGGACAATGGGACTGCTCTGTGTTAAAACAGTTATGAGAAGAAGTGGGAAAATCCTCATTTTCCCCACTTAGAGAATTCTGGCCTTTTGTCATGTAAACCCCAAACCAGTTTGTTTTCTGCAGAAGCCTCAAAACTCTAAAGGTAAAATCTGTCTACTTTCCTGGGCTGAGCTGAACACTGAAGGGTTTCAGTATTGCATAAAGCAATTTCTGTATTTTTGAGGAGATTTAGCAAGAACAAACTTACTAAAAAGCTACTAGAAAATATTTTACATGCAGTTTTTTTCTGCACCTTCTCTTAGGAAAACCTTTTCAATGAGAATTTTCCATTAACACAACTGTAATGAGCATGAATTCAGCTCATTGTAAGAGGATTTAGAAGGCTTCAGCTTTTGCCCACAGACACAAGCTGCAGTCAGTCCCTGCCTGGTGACTCACCTCAAACACCCTGTGGCATTGAAGAACACTTCTGGGTCAATAATTTCTCGTGTCCTGTTGCAGCCGCCATCAGACCAGCCCGAGAAAGGGATGATAACACAGTCTGTCAGCACAGGCAGGGCCTCCTGTATCAATTCTTCCTTTAGCTCATCAGTTGAGGAGAGGTTCCAGAGCAGTCCTAGGAAGGAGGTGGGACACAAGCTCAGGGTCCTGTGCATTGGAAACCTTGTTTAGGTCAAAGTGATTCCAGCACCAAAATCCTTCTTCCCTTCACCCCTCTGGGCTGAGGGTGCAAAGGCTGCCATAAACCCCAGCCCCTGTCCACTCCTATAGGAGACAGACAGGATGGGCCCATGTGGAGGTGGGCGTTTAAGTATCCTCCCTCCTCTCAAAATTGCTGTTTATTGCCGTTCGGTTGCAGTGGTGGGCATCTTTTCAGGGATCTTGGAAAGGCTTGCCCATAAACCTGGGACACAGCTGAGGTTGACCTGGATGAAAAAACTCCCATCAATTCCTCAGGAAAAGACAAGGCACCAATGAAAGAACCCAGCCAACCCTGTTGGGGGTAGCAGCTCCCTTGGCCTTCCCTGGGAACAGCACAGAGGCCAGGGGTGGAGCCAAGTGTGGAAATGGCAGAGTGACCACAACTAGGGGGGGTGGGGGGGAACCTGGGGCAAGTGCTTCCCAACATGCACTTAGGAAGTGAGGAATCTTTATGGAACATGGAAGGGCCAGGACCTCCTCTGCCTTCTGGTTCAGGTGACCCTTTGGAGCAAGAGGAGCACAAAACACCTCTCTGTGCTAGGGCATCACCAGGGCTACAGACCCCAGGCAGGGGGAGCCCGGGCCCTGCTGGAGCTGAGCAGCTCCCAGTACCTGTGAGCTGTTTCTGAATTTCAGTGTTTCCCGTCCTGCGGAGGAGGCTCACGCACTCCCTGATCCCGTTCTGCCGCCGGGTTTCGATCTTGTTGGTGGGATTCTTGAACACCAGGTTCCGGAGGGCTCCTGCCGCCGCCCGCTGCACGTTCTGGTTCTGGCTGCGGAGCAGCTCCACCAGCTTGGCAATGCCCCCCAGCCTATAGACCTGCCCAAGAGAGACACAGGACAGACATGGCACATGAGCATGGATCACTGGGACAGACACGGGACAGACATGGCACATGAGCATGGATCACTGGGACAGACATGGGACAGATGCGGGACAGACACAGGACAGATACAGGACAGACACGGGACATGAGCATGGAGCACTGGGACAGACATGGGACAGATACAGGACAGACACGGGACATGAGCATGGAGTTCTGAGACAGACACAGGACACAGAACAGACACCTGCCATGAGCATGGCACCAGGACAGACTCATGTTATCAGCGCAGAGCACCAGACACCCCTGGGACAGGGGCACCCAGAAATGCCCTGGCAGTGCCAGGGGTTGCACGGCCCATCCTGGGGAAGCTGGAGAACAAGGGCCAGAGATGACAAATCTGGTTCAGGCCATAGGTCATGAGCACAAAGCTCCTTGCCTGGAGGTTCAGGAGTGGCTGGCTATGAGCAATGGCCATGGACATAGGGCTTTGCCGACGGAAATGTGCTCCTGTAAACTTTCACCCACCTCCACAGTTTGCACCAGGTGGAAATGTTGCCCTGCCTCTGTGCACAGCCATTTATAGCCATCTAATGACATGCTGTGGTCATTTATCTGCATCCTGAGATCACAGGCTGAGCTCAGAGGGATGGTCATGACCAGTGTCACCACCCTCGAGCTCAGCCAGAGGCAGTGGAGGGAGCCCAGACCGCAGGACACCACAAACAGGGCACGGAGCTTTGAAGGCAAATCCCTGCAGCTGAGCTCTCCACATGCCGAGTGCTCCTGCTGTGGAACGTGCTCTGCAGCGGCCGTGATCCCGCCCGGAGCCCAGTCTGGCCCAAACAGCCCCTCGCCGGGGGTTGCTGACAATGGCAGGGAATGAGCACCTTTCAGGAGGGAAGAAAAACAACCGTGAGCTGAGGTGAGTCACGGACCTGCTCTGGCACATCTTTCTGGGAAGGATGGGACAGCCCAGTGCTCACAGAGGGTTTGCAACGGTAACAAAGGGTGTGGCTGCCCCACAATCGGCCACGTGAACATGGGCTGGGCACCTGCACTCAGCCAGGCACAGCCAGGGTACAGGGGCACAGCCCCACACCGGTACAGCACTGCCAGCTCCACTGTGGTGCCAGGACAGGGAAAGCCACCTCTATAAGGTTGGCATCTTGATAAACCCAAGGTGGGGATAATCTCTGGCAACATCATTGCTGCAGCAGATCCATCCTTCAGGCTGCCTCCTTTGCTGCATATTGGCAAAGAAACTGAAGAGCAACAGCATCACAAAAATAACCTGTGCTATAAGAAGGTTTTTTTCTGTAATCAAATACCATGGAAACACAGAGGGGTTTGGGTGAGAAGGGACCTCAAAGCTCATCCAGTTCCACTCCCTGCCATGGCAGGGACACCTTCCACTATCCCAGGTTGCTCCAAGTGCTGCCCAACCCAGCCTTGCACACTTCCAGGCATGGGGTAGCCCCCACTATGGATGTGCAAATTATCTTTGTACATGATCACTAATAAACCCATTGGCTCAGGTGGCTGAAATAGTATGGAAAGGGATGCTGAAAAAGGCTGGAAAAGGGCTGCAGAGTCACTGAGCAATGTGCAGCAAAGGCCACAGTGGGACTTAAGGCAGCTTTGTCTGGCTCCGATTCCACAGCTCTGAGACAGCAAAAGATTTATGTGGAATTGGTGCAGTTGCCCCCAGGAGAGGACACTGAATGGCACCTTCCACACTGCCAAACCCCATCACCCTGTACCACAGCAGCTCATGATGACAACGGGAACAGTCTCCTCTGCTACCCAAACACTATTCCAGGTGTTAAATCCTGACCAACTGCTCTTGGGAGAAAGTGGCCATTAATAGCTGAAAAATCTACTTAATGAATACCTGAGCCTGACTAATGAGGTATAAAGCACTCTCATGAAAACCAGGGGAACCTGTGGATCCTTGGCACTGAGGAAAACCAGTCCCACCCCTCTCTTGTGCCATCAGCCCTGGAGAGCTCTGGAGGAGTCTGCTCACCTCTTGCTTGGCAGACTCATCCTGGAAGCAGGTGTGCTGCAGGTAGTAAGCCCCCATGGCCTGGTACTTGTCATCAGAGGAGCACAGGAGCTGGATGGCCTTCTGGATGGTCATGGTGCCAGCGTCAATCTCGTCACCACAGATCCTGTGTCAAAGAGAAATACGGAGCTGGGTGAGTGCTCAGCCAAAACAGCTATGTCAGCACTAGGAGTGACTGGGAAGGAATCAGTGATAAAATGTAAATTATTATCACATTGCCACATAAAGAGCGCAATGCACCTCTAGACAAATTTCTCTGTCTCAAAAAAAGAGATGGTAAAAGATGGAAAAGACACAGTGGAGGGCACTGAGGATAATGAATTCCAGGCCCAGTCTTTCCATAAGCAAAGGAGACAGCAAATGAAAGCTGGGTTGAGGTACTGGATGCCTGATTGTGTGCAAAGTGGAAGTTTAATGAACAGAGACCCAGTTCACTATTCCCCAAACAAATGAGTGAGTGGACAGGAGTGAAACCATCTGTCAGGTCATGAGGACAAGGTAACTCAGGCCGTTGATTTTCCCACAGCATGGGATCCTTTGATGTGAGAGGTGGTGGAAGCAGAAATGTGAGAGCAGCTGATGGTCTGGGGAGGCTTGAGCAAATCCCTCGGGAAAAGRCCTGTCTGGAGTGATGGGATGGACAAACAGTTTATGAAAAGCTAATAATAGCTCTGAGACATCCTGCTCCCAGGGGATGTTCACCCTGGCTGTCTCCAAACTCCTATAAAAGCTGACCACTGTCATCATCCCTGTTAGATGTAAAGAATGTGCCTGCAACTCCAAAGGAAGGATATGAATTCCTCTGGCTTGGGGCAGGAATGAAGCCTTGGGAGAAATACAGAGACCTGAAGGTTTTTCCACTTATTTGGAAATGTGAAGGTCCTGCTCTTTTTGGCTTGTTCTTGTTCAGCACCATCTCTGATGTTTTAACCACATAAAATTAGAAAAGGGTCCAAACTTTCAGACTGATKAAGGGGGTCTGAACTACAAAGTTTGTCTGTGCTTCCAGTTAAAGAAACTAATGTAATTAAAAGTTCCTGATTAGTCTCGGCACCCTTGCAGCTGAATCCTTCAGAGGCTGCATGCAGATCTCAGCTTACAGCAGTGCTGGCTGCATTAATTTGCAAAGYCCAGGACCAAGGAGAGTCAAACCCAAAATATTGTCAGCAGTRATGGGATACAAATGGGAAAGGCTTCATTAGCAGTGGATGGAATCCAAAAGTGTGCAGGCTTTACCAGGCCAGTCATGGCCATTCCTGGCTGATGTTATTCCCGGAGACTGATGGGGAGTTCTACCGGGGAATCAGGAAATCAGTCTCCAGTTGAACCACRTTTATTTATACACATTTTTGCTACATATCACAGGGATTAACTCTGTAGAGGGGCTGCTTGTATTCAGACAATCCAACAGAACAACAAAACTGTGAATTTGAATAATGAACCCATTATTTTTCAACCCATTACATTTGAAGTGCTAAATATCACCACAAGACAGCAGCACTTCCAGGCACAGGATAGACAGAGTTGCTTTGACTGAGYCAAAGAAATGTGAAGAATAAAGGTCTGGAAGGGACATGTCATCACCACCAGCAGCCCCTACAGTGAGATAAAACATTAATCCTTATGAATCCAAGTGTTCCCTTCCACACAGCACAGAGCAGTGAATAAGATAAACAGYTCCATAGGGAATTTCACATAAAATATCAAAAAGCAGCATGAAGACCTCTGGTCTCCACTGCCCTCACTGGCAGAAAGTTAAACCCAGTCTGTATAACTCATTCAAGCACCTGTGGAGTCAGTGGAGAGAAATCGGCGCTTCCAAAAACCACCTTGACTTTGTGTCTTGGACATTTTTTTTTAGGACAGGAAGCCCCACCCTCTGGAAACACCTCTGCCTCTCTTGGTATGCAGGAATGAGAGACAACAGTCTGGGGTTAGACCTTAAGCATTCCATGTCTAARGCTGGATGAACCTCATTCCACTTTTATTTCTACACTGCAATAAAAGATCACTTCCTTGTGAGACTTTTCATCAGCTTGAACCTCTATCAAAACATGGCACCAAGGAACTTCCATTAAACTTGCAACAAGGAGGAACGAAACAGGAAAGACAAAGTTAAAACTAGAAATTATGGAGCCCCACAAATCCTTGGATCCAGGATGTTGTGATTTTCTATCRGTTTTTTTCATGCTCCTGAGACACAATGGAGCTGAGATCTGATGGATCCTGCACCAGGAAGGGGCTTCCCCCTTGGGAACTGGGATCTGGAGTGGTAGTATAGAGGCAGAGACAGATTGGTAAAAAAAAACAGGTCAGCTGCCATGCAATCATGGTGATATTTTTTAATTATAATTTTTTAATCAGATGCACTTTTTCTGAGATGTTCACTTGGTCCAGCTACTCAAGGAAAGCAATTTTCTTCACCTCCACTCCATAGAGGCCCAAACCCTCCTTCAGCTGGGAAAAACTGGGGATGCAGGTGCAGTTCTGTGGGAAAAGATGGAGAAGGTCTCTTTTCCCTGCTGGTTCCTCAGCAGAAGTTCATGGCAGGTCGGCAGCCAGGCTCAGTCACACTGCTCAGGAAGCAGCAGGGATTTCTCCTGACTGAGAATAAAATCACCCTGGAAAAGCCCAGCTAAGGGGAGATTGTTCTTCAGCCAGTTGGGGATATTCCTGAGCAGATCCACACTATGGGAACAACAACCAGCTCCAAGACAACTCTTGGACTGAGCCATTTCCAGCCTGGGCAATGTGYCTGGCAGAAAGAGATCCAAAGGTTGTTCTTCCACAAGAAAGAAGCAATCAGAGTAGGAAGAGACCTTAGTTAGAAATGATTCAATGGAGACAAAGAAGATCAGGTTCTGGAATGGAAGAGAAACAAATACTGAAGAGGATCAATATCACAGGCAAATTCCCTCACATTGCATGAGCAGATTGTTTTGTCTTAATCAATTTTAAGTTTCCATCCTGCTTGTTAGGCCTACAAGTCCCAAGAGAGGAGGAAGTCAGRTAACTCTTAACAAATCCCATTGTTCATTAATAAAATCAGATTGGAGACACTCAAAACAGTGTTCAGCACATCTTGGCATTTTATCCCAAATAAAAACAAACCAAAAGGGAGGGTGCCTTTCATCATACTCGTTCTGCTTCCAGTGCACGATTTAGCCTTGAAGAATGAATGTTTTGGTATTGATCCTGTAATTATCCCAAAAGACAGGAGATAGATCAGAAAACAGCCTCAGTGCCTTTCCTGACTATTTCCATAACTCCTGTGTTCTGTCTGTTTGCAGTACTTACAAGGGAAGCTGAGCATAGGAGGGAATGGTTGTAGGGGACACAGGGACTGTCCCTGAACTTCAACCACAGCACAGAGGCTGCTGCTGCTCAGCTGGGTCCAGGCTGGTGTCACCACAGCCAGATGTGACACCAAGCAATCCCAAAGAGTTGCTCCAGCCTTTACTGCCCCCTCCATAGCTGCCAGCTGAGGCATCCAACACCTTTAACAGGGCAACTCTGAGATGTTACAGATTGCAGGTGCCTGGAGAGACACTCGTTTCCACATGGTCTCTAATGAGATGGTTTCTTTCTCCACACACAGAGAACTCCGAAGGGAAGAACATCCTCATCTCCCAATGGGGCCAAAGGTGAGTGTGGGTTTGCAGGTGGCCATTAAAGTCTCCTGATCCAGATCAGTGAACCCTCAGCCAGGGAATGTCTGCAGACGCCCAGCTCCCCATTCCATCCTCCCAAAGGAGAACACCCCGAATCCTTCTCCAGGGGTGGGATGAGTCTGGGCTCTCAGTCATGTCTCCATCTCAGATATCTGGGGTTCCCTGAGACCAGCAAGAGGTGTTGGCTCTATAGTGAATAACTCAGGGACCCGTCTCCGAATTCAGCCCCATTTGCCATTGGGCACCTCAGCTCAGAGAGAGACATCTCCTGAAGCTGTGTCATCAGCCCAGGCCACTGCAGGGCCACAGCACCACGGCCACCACCTTGCTGGGCCCTGTCTGTCCCATGTCACACCTGAAGCACAAAGTGCAACATCTCCAAGCAGAACTAATAAATGCCAGTCCTTGGAAGGTACAATGTTCTTGTATCTCAGGCTCCAGCTGGAGCGGTGCAAAGTCTCTGAATTTCCTAGGAGGATTAAGGATCCCACAGTTTGTTACTGCTTCTCATTATCACTCTCTGGTGACTAAGCAGGATGGAGAAACTTTTACCCTAAACGGGCATCAATAATGTCAATAACATCAATAACATGCAATATGTAATTTAGCCAAAAGCTGCCTGCTCAGGATGCCACCCTGTCACCTGAAGCATGCTGCAAATGCCACCCAGCAGAGGAAATGGTTATAAGTGGGCAAATATGGGTGGTCTCCACCAGCTGCTGAAATTACCTTCCAGGGTGGAAGGCTGCAGCTCTGAGSTCAAAACAGATCAGAGAGAAGGGTTCTGGGAAGAAGAGAGTCAGTAGGAAGAAGATTCCTCTAGCTCTGCCAGACTCCAGAGAGCTGCATTTTGGCAAAATGTGAGTGCTGCTCACTGAGAGCAGCCTTTGGACAGGAGCCACTGGAACAACCCTAAATGTCTGAGCCCAGGCCAGAGCTGCTGAGCTTGGAAATGTTGATCCAGATATGACATAATGATTACCAAGACTCAAGTCTCTGAGTGGTTATAGAGAAGTATGTCTGGAATCCCAGAATCACTCAGGTTGGAAAAGATCTCTGAGACCATCAGGTCCAACCTGTGACCAATCCCCACCTTGTCACCAGCTCAGAGCACTGAGTGCCATGTCCAGGTGCTCCTTGGACACCTCCAGGGATGGGCACTCCACCACCACTCTGGGAAGCCCCTTCCAATGTCTAAAACTCTCTCCGTGAAGAAATTCTTCATGGACAAAATGGGARGAACATGAAAAAGTCCCTCTCTGCTCACTGAGGCAGGATCATGATAACAGGGCTGGTGGAGGAGAAGAAACTGCAGGAGGAGTTTTCAATAGTGTTCAACCTCCTGATCTGGCAAATAGTGCAGAATTCAGATTTCATCACCAGAACCAGCACCATGGGGTGAGTAAACCCCTGTGTCATGATTTAGTTTATCAGGGAATCATAGAATGGCTTTTCCTGAAACACATTTCAGTGTCAAACTGCTCATCAGGCAGTTGAAGAAAAGGGGCTTGGTCAGAGCTGCTGCTGTAAGGGGGAGGACTCTGAGGGATATCAATTATYAGAGACAGCTCTTCCCTCTCTCACACACCCAGAGCCAGTTCCATAAAGGACAGCAATTACACTGCCAAGAAGAGTCACAGAGGTTAAATAACTTTGTCACCAAATGCAGAGGGACTGCTCAGCACAGACAGTTTGACAGTTCTTACACACTCAGAATTTTGGTATCTGCACACCACTCTCACCACCAGAGAACATCCATTTTTCCTCTCACACCATCCAGGGAGATCAGATCCACAGCAGAGGGATGCCTGAGAAGCACCACCCTTAAGCCAGTACTGACACTGTGGGCATTACAGAGGAGTTTTGTATCGCAGACAGACCCAGTGGATCACAGATCACACTACAATCTCTCTCACAGCAATGGAAATCGCCCCATGGATCACCTCAGAAAGCATGAAGAGCACCCAGCCCTCCCCTGGCTCTCGGAGGCCGTTGGCAAACATGCAGACAAGAGATCCAACATATCCTTGTGCAGGAGATCTGCAGCACAAAAGCCAAACACTCCACGTGACAAAGGCACATACTGCAACTGGAGAAAGACCAGAATGGAAGGGACAGAGCCCCAAACTGGGAACTGGCAGCAGCTGTGACCCAGCCAAGCCCTGTCCCTGCAGTGCAGGTTAATAATGAGGTACCTACAAGCAAAACTCTCCTTACTCAACACCAGGTGAGCCAAGTGACGACTGAGATCTCCAGGTGGAAAGCCCTCCAAACACAACAGCCCTGCATAGCAAGGAGAGCTCAGACATGGTCCTGACCCACTTCTGAAGCCCCTCCCCAACCAAAGCACGCTGACAGCGAGGCCAACAGTGCCCTGCAAGGTACTTTCTAAGGCCTAGGAGTCCTCCAAAAGAGTGATTTTTCCAAAGAGGACAATTCCTTTGTATATCTCCCAAGCTTTAAGCACCACTGCTGCCAATCTCCTGCCCTTTGAGCCCCTGCACCAGGCCAGCTCTGCAGAGCTTCAGGCAGAGCAGAGGCTGTGTCACAGCCACATCAGATTCACTCAGGGGACAAGCCCCAGCTGAGCCCATGACTTGGAGCCCAACTTGGAGCCCGACATTTCCCCACCAGAACCAGTTCTGCCAGATGAGCCATGCCCCAAGCCAGGAGTGTGTAAATGGAGCCACTCCCTAACCAAGGGCAGCTAGAGCTGGAGAGGATCCCTCTGACAAGAGCAGTTCTGCTCTCATAAAATGCCATCATTCTCCAAGTGACCTCTCCAAAGCCATGCCCAAGTCCCCGACCATGGCTTTGGCCAGAGCCTGTCAGGACTAACTGCTCCAAAGTTGCATCCTGCCTAGGAGCAGGCAGCTGCAGCCCCGGGTTCAGGCATTCTGCCGGTCCTCCCACTACACTTCTCTGCTCTTCAGTCAGAAATTCCCTACAAGTCACTTCCAGTTTGTGTAACGTCACTGGTTCCTGTCCCAGGATTTACAGAGCTGCTGACAGTAGCAAGCCAAGGCCACCAGTGCTCTGGGCTGGCCAGGGCTCATTTGGCATGTGTCACACATGGAGTAACTGGGCACACAGACAGCCAAGGGTTCCTGATAACATTCTAATGGGGCCGTGACGTTTCTTGGCATCCACGCTCTGGGACACACCCTCCTACTCAATCCTAAAGAGGGAGGCTTAGCTAGAGTAACCTGGGACATTCAGATGTGGAAAAGGGCATGGTTTGGCTCACACTGCTGACAGGGAGGGGGATTTTCTTAATATCTCCCTCATTCCTTGGGGCAACAGCTCAACAGCTTCAGGCCTTTGGGGGGAGTTGTGACAGTCTATGAGCCCTGGTAARCAGTCTCACACTTATCCTGGAGTGGGCAAATTCTCCTTGGGACCGGGGACCAACAGGAATGAGTCTGGGAGCCTTTAGGGTTTGTGTGACAAAATGCCCCATCCATCTGTGCGTGGTGAGAACTACTGGGCTGATGCAAAACAAGTCCTGTGTGATGGTGACAGCATGGGAAGTGCAGCAACCCTGGGAACTCCTGTGGATGCTGCAGCCCCTCCTTCTCCAGCTTTCACTGCAAAGTTTTGCAGTTCAAACCATGCAAACTATGGTCTTCCAAGACTCCCAAGACTCTGGTTTGACTGCAGCAGAACCTGATTGGTGCTCCAGAGCTGGAGGTGGAACAGGGCACTGGGGCAGCCTTCAGCCACCAGCCCTGTAAAACCACCCAAACCTGGTGATTGCCAGTGGGGGCCCTGCTGCACTCACACCAACATCCTTGGGGGGGTCTGAGCTCACTGCTGTGTTTTACATGCCCTGTGCTTGTAGGCAACACCTACAAGAGAGGATCTGATGCTCTGACATGATGGACCATCCTCCACTCTGTATTTCCTACCCCAAATGGGACTGCATGCTCGGGAAAGGAAGGAATTTAATAACTTCCACTGAATCCTCTTCCCTTATTAGGGAGATTATTCCAMTTCGGGTATTCATTTCAATTTATGACTCAGTTCTTTTCTGTAATCCAAACCAGACCTTTTGGGTGAATGAAGCAGAGGCTGGGTGGCAGAAGGGAGGGAAACACCACTGCTCAGCAGGCTCTTAGCTGAGCCAGACCCTTAGGAACTGACTCTTTCCAAGACAGCTTTTTGGGTATGTTTTCTGCCAGACTGAAGCAGCAGCACACCCTGACTGCACCGCAGGCCTTCTGCTCTTACCWCGCCACCCTCATCTCGCTGTGGGTTCATGGCATAGACACTGAGGGATTGTGTTGCCCCACATCACAGAGCTACAGCAGAGATATCTGCACCAARCCAATCCTATCAGCTCCCTTCCACAGCCCAGGAAACGAAATAAAGCCCTTAAGAGTGACTTATGTGACCCACTTTGCTGTGGGACGCCCCAGTGAGGGCTCTCCAGTGGCTGCAAAGCAGCTCAGATGCCTGGCTCTGGTGGACAGAGCTCCTCAGCACTGCCCACACCCACTTGGGAGGGTCCGAGCACTTACTTGGAGCTGGACTGGGCCTGGCCGTAGACCCCGTCCTGCTTGCAGCTCATCATGGGCTGGGCATAGACGACGTCAGGCTTGTTGCTGGAGGGGCAGGACAGGGCCCGCGCCGGCATTTTTTTACTGGTCCTGGAGGTTCCCTGCTGGGTGCTGCAGCTGCTGTAGATGCTCTGGCGGTTGAGGGTGGCCTTGTGCTCAGTGCGGCCGACGCCGTGGGTCTTGCGCAGGGTGCCGCGGGGCGGCTCGCAGTAGAGGTCGGGCTCGCTGCGGCTGCTCTTGATGTTCTGCACGAAGCAGTAGTCGCTGCCGGCGCGGGGGCTGCACAGGGCTTTGCCGTGCGCCCGGCTGGCCCAGCCCTCCATCTGGCTGTAGGAGCTGTAGCGCCGGCTCTCTGCATCCCGCTTCAGCGTCCCGTTGTACAGCTGCCAACACAAGTACAGCACGTTTAGGGCAGGGAGGAGGCTTGGCCTCCTGGGCGCACCATGGCAGGCTCTGACTGCTTCCCGGGGCCTCTCAGGCATTTCTGTGCCCAAATTTATGGGAGAYTGTCCAACCTGCAGCCCTGGCAAAGGAGTCAGACCCCACCTGTATATCAGTGACCCTGAGGGATCAGGATGTGGGATCTGGGAGCTTTAAAGCAGAAYTGAAAACTCAGACATGACCCTGGCAACCGACAAAGTACTTTAGTCCCAACACACGGGTTCTAACCCACCCTGTAACTCCAGGAACTCACTGTGCATCTCTGACCAGCACTCTCACCGCACTGTTGTTCCTGTCAAAGATGGGCACTGGTGGCACTGGTGCTCCTGTCTGGCTCAGGGAGGAAGTGCCTCCCTCCCTGGCAGCAGTACAGACCTGCCCTTAAATTAACGAGCATTTGTGGATCTCCAGTTCTCAGCCTGCAAWGGAGCTTGATGCCCCATTCTGACCTTGAAGCAGTGCCCGCAGTTATTTTTAATTTCCTTATACTATTTTCTTCCCCTCCCATTTATTAGTTCCTTAGGAAGGGAGTAAAGGGAGTGAAAATGAGTAAGAAGGGATTCTTGAATCAAACTGTGCCAAGAAACAAGTGGAGACAATGAATATCTGCTTATGAGTTACAAGGTGTGTAGTATCTGCTCACATAATGGGATGCTCTGGGAACAATGGGCAATGTGCAATAAAAACTGAGATGACTAAGACAGRAAATAAAAGAGAAAAGATAAAAGATGGTAAAATAAACATCTACAATTAACAAAACAATAAGATGGCTTTAGCTGTCCTGCTGTCAGTTCAAAGTGCCTTCACCACTTCACCAAAAGYCCTCCAGATTTGCATCAAGTTTGCCACACCAGGATTGAATTCAATCTTCCTCTGCAATGTTAATCCAAACCTTTTAGGATGTCAGTGCTGGCTCCTGGGAGGCTGCAGGGTTGTGTCCAAATGAGAGACAACTCACTCAGGTGTGCACTCCAGAAATGAAAATAAATTGAACTGTTTTGGCGCTGTTCGCCCCATAATGCTGAGTTTGTGCCCTGCACCCCCTCAGCACTCTGGCAAGGACATCTCCAAGGCATACAACAAGATAAAAAGAAATAAGGAATAGAACTTCCTGCCCTGTTCCCCTTTGGTTTATCCTGGGAAAGCTCATCCATGGTCTCCTGGTTTGATCTTGTTGGATCCAAGTTGTTTTTTCTCATCCAACTCAAAGCAGTGGCACTCCAGCTACAAAGGCCACCCAAGGGTCCCTTTGGCTGGGAGAGAAAAGTTGATACTGGYTCCTAATCATTTCCATGGTGTGTGCCTAATAATTTCCAAAGYCTGTGCCTGATGTAATAGCTCATGTCACTGAAAAAAATCCACATTTCCTAACCTAGAAACACTCCATGAGAGAGAAATGGGAATCCTCTGCCAGCTCACCCAGAGTCCCTCAGCTCTGTCCTAACTCCATTCCAGCCCCGGCACACTCAGCATCATTTCTGCCTCCAACACTCTGCAGAATTGTCATTATGCTAATTAATTAAGCCAAATATTTCCATTAACAAACTGATCTTCAGGAATGCAGAGAATCCTCTCGGCTGTGTCCCAGACAGCTGCACAGGTAACAGCTGAAACCCTTCCCAAGGGGCTACCTGGCAGCACCTGAATGGGACCAAACCCTTTAGTCCAACTCTGTAGAAGCCTAGCTCACTATTATTTAAATAGGTCTCATACTTTCAGGTGTGCATCTAAACAGGTGAATTGCTGCAAGGGGACAAAAGGGATGCAAATTCTCCCTGTGACTCCTCCAGAGGACACAGAACAAATCTGGTACTGCAGCGGGGCAGGGGCAGGATCCAAGCCTCATGGAGAGCTCCTGGGGTTTGGAATGAGAGGTTGCAGGTGATAAAAAGAGCCAGAATGAGGCACATCAGAGAGGAACCTGATGCTCTTGAGGGGGTCCCTAGCAGTGGACAAGCCCTCTGCTGCCCAGGATGAAATGCAGGATGGTTACACACACAGGCTCTCTCCATCCCAGGTTTGCTTGGGATGCAGCACACATGCAGCAACAGCAGAGACCTTCCATGAAGTCATGATCTACCATGTATGTCCTCCTGAGGTGAYATCATCCTCATTTCAATTAATTTTCCTGGGTTCAGAAGCCCTGGGGACTGTTCAGGATGGACAGGACTGCTGTGAGAAGGCACAGGGTGGACTCCGTGCTCAGCTGGAGCCACTGGCAGTGGCTGCAAGACAGACAGCAGCTAGTTAGATGTGAACCCTGCTGGTTTTCTTTATGAGTCAGTTTAAGCTGGGATTATTCTGTAGGGTTCTCAGAAGCTTGGCAGAGCTGTGGAGCCCCTGGGCATCTGCTGAAACCAATTCAGGGAAGCCTGGAAGAGGAACTTGTTGTTTATCTAAAGCTGGGGTTTGCTCTGCAGTGCACTCACTGAGGGGAGGGGGGGTTGTGTCTCTGTTCACTGAGAGAGAATCACCAATTCTAGATTTCTCCCTGGGTTTTGGAGGAGCTGCAGTATTGTCCTCCTCCTTGGCAGCCCTGAGATGGGTGAAGCTGTTTGCAAAGACATCTTTCTGCAACACAGGAGCCCTGGGCTGCAAGTCCGAGCAGGTCCCGGCAGGGCGGGGGAGCCTTTTGCAAACTCATGGGAAAGTCGTTCCCGTGTGATGTGAAGCTCATTACCAAAGGCAGTCCACGACTTTTATTGCTGATTCTACCAGATGCTTGGCTGAGCCCATTTTAATCTCTTTCAAGTGGCACGGACCTAATTGGTATCTCAGAATTCCTCTTTGCAGCCTGAGCCTGATCCAAAGGCTCCAGATCGATGAGGATTCTCCTGCCAACTCTGGCAGATTTCAGACCCCGCCAAAGTCTCTGTGAATCGCTGCACAGCTGGGGCTGATCTGATCCCTTCTTGATCCCAGCAAAGTGCCCTGTCTGTGCCTTAGAGCAGCTTCCTCACCCTAAAACCTAACCCCCCGTGTTGGGAATATATCCCCAGCTAAGTTAGGGACCATCACTTCCTGCACTGAAGCAAATGTGGCCAAGGGAATGGAATTCCCTGCAGCCATCAGTGAGATAGGATGCCCAGCAAGAAAGAAGGGGAACACTCTGTATCTGGAGATATGTCATCTTTGAAGGTGAAGTGATGTTGACACATTGTCAGGGGTTTAAAGAGCCACCTGACAACATGTCCCACCTTTTGCTGATGCCACTTGGGTGTGCAGGGAGTTCTCCCTGTGCACAAGAGCAGCAGTGAAAGGAAAGAATCAATCTATGGCCCCCAGACCTCATCAGTGCCCCGATTTCCAGCACCTCGAATTGCACCTGCCCACTGCCCGTGGGTGTGTGCACTGTGCCATCCACATCTTTGCCCTTTAGGAGCGTGGGGAAATGCTGGGAAAGACCAGGAAGTCCCTCAAAGTGGGGTGGAGACAGGAGGCAGTGATTCCCTCTGCACTGCAAAGAGAACTGTTTTGAAGGGCTAAGGCTGTCACCAAGGCTCCTCTCCATGGGAGCTGAAAAGATTGGAAGGTCTCTCCTTCCAGCACACAATTCCTTGCTAATGTGCACTGGCAGTCCAGAAAATCACCTGTGTCCTGGGCTCATCCCACAGCATGGCTGCAGCCAGGGAGGGGATTCTCCTCTCTCCTCTGCTCTCRTGACACCCCATCTGGAATACTGTGCATAGTTCTGGTGCTCCAAACATAAAGAGGACATGGAACTATTGAAGCAAGTCCAGAGGAAGCCACCAAGTGGATGAGGGGACTGGAGCACCTCCCCAGTGGAGACAGGCTGGGAGAGCTGGGAATGTTCAGCCTGGAGAAGAGGAGGTTGGGTGGAGACCTCACAGCACCTTCSAGGATCTGAAGGGGCTGCAGGGAAGATAGAGAGGGACCCTTCACCAGGAACTTGAGTGACAGGACAAGGGCGAATGGCTTCCCACTGCCAGAGGGCAGGAATGGATGGGATATTGGGAAGGAATTCCTCCCTGTGAGGGTGGGGAGGCCCTGGCACAGGTTGTCCAGGGAAGCTGTGGCTGCCCCTGGATCCCTGGCAGTGTCCAAGGCCAGTTTGAATGGGGCTTGGAGCAGCCTGGGATAGAGGAAGGTGTCCCTGCCCATGGCAGGGGATTGAATGAAAGGATCTTTAAGGTTGCCTCCAATCAAACCTTCTGGGATCCTATGATCCTGTGGCCCTGATTTCAGCCATTCCATAACACCCTGGCGGTCCCCTGTGCCTGTAGGATGCCAGAGGATGCTCAGGTGCARTCAGGCCACCTGACATCCTGAATTTTAGCCTGAACTTCTTCTCCCCATTGGGAAATGAATCTGTCTGTGTGAGACCAGGCCTTGGGAGCCATTCATCCATAGTCAGACAGGGAAGCCAGGGAAGGAAGAAAGGCACTGGAGACAAGCAGTGGTGGCACTGGTACTCCTGTCTGGCTCAGGAAGGAAGTGCCTCCTTCCCTGGCAGCAGCACAGACCTGCCTTTACATTAACAAGCACTTGTCGATCTCCAGTTCTCAGCCTGCAATATGTTCTAGGAATGTCCAACATTCCAACCAAGTGCAATGTTAAACACACAAGGTAGGTAAACAAACATCTTTAACCTCCTATTTCAGCTGGAATAAAACCAGTTCTAGAGGGAAAGTCAAAGTGGCATTTTCCCAGCCATCAGCCATGAGTCCTGTTCTGTTTTTTTTTTTTTTTTCCATAAACCTTTTTGCTTGGCACAAAAAGTCACTGTCCTCCCCCTGCTTTCCAGAGAAGCAGAGGCACAGAGCAAGGTGCACCAACCCATAAAAAGCACCTGGATCCAGCTCTGCCTTCCCACGTCAGCGCCCTCCCAGAGAACTGGGTGGTTCTGATTGTGCATCTGAGGACGCCATCAGTTCATTACCTGCCTGGATTTTTTTTTCCCTTGCAATTTGTTTGTTTCTAG